TCTTCTGTGATCGCACTTAAGACCGTCTGTGCAGCTCTTTGTCTGTTAAGGCTGATTTATACTTCTGCGTCGGCGCTGACGCATAGCCTTTCGCTGTGGCCTTCAGCGTCACTGACGTGCACCTCTCAAAAAAATTTAACTACATGTCGCAACAACACGTAGCGCAAGCTCTGTGATTGGTCGGCTTGGTAGCGCTGACGAGTCTGGCTGGGACCGAGAGCCGCGCGAATGGCGTGAGCCCAATGGAGCGATTGTTTACAATTGTGAAGTCCCGTGAAGGAGCTCCGGATGAAAAGTTTTGTTCTGTGTTTACCTCATAGTTAAAGTTGTTGCACGTCCGCCGGTTCCTGCCTCAAAACGAGCAAGTTTGAGCCACTTGTACATCCCGGAAGTGTTCAGGAAAAGCAACACAGCTGCGAAGAAACTCGACACAAAGGAACATTTACACCTCACTGCCAACTAGCATTTCGGAAGTGTTAATGCAGACCAACAGAGACAGCGCGCAGAAGTATAAATACACAGCTACACGCGTTGCATGCGCCGTGGGTTTTGCCAGTCACTTGGGGCAGAAGTATAAACCAGGCTTGATGGTGGTTGGCAGAAAGGAATGGAAAGTGGCGTATCTAAACAGAGGTTGGCCCATTGGATATAGATGTCATCACCCTCACTTGAGTGCCAGGTCAATTTGTGTGGCCCAAGGATGAGAGCACACAGAACAAACAGTGTCGCCTTTTGTTGGAGCTGTAAATTATTAGAGAAAAATCATTACTCCTACTTCGCTACATTGGGCGGCGTTCCTCTGTTACTGTCAAATGATGATAAGAATGATCCATATGTTTTGTTTGCAAATATCGCAAGGGGCTGCATTGGAGAGGTTGTGTCAAGAGAGGTTGCTATAGAGAGGCCTCTCCTGCTTTCCTTTAGGGGGCACGCGCCTGTGTTGAATGATGGCTGATGAGGGAGACGTGCGAGTTATATCGCGGTCCCGCCATGGCCATCTGCGGTTCTGAGAAGGACGATCATGCTGTCTGTGTGGTGAGTTTATTAGACCAGGTCACCCGGCCTCAAGTTCAGTCTGTTTTCACTCCAAGATGTCAACAACAATAGTCTGATAATGCAATGCACGCTGTACATTGAACTGACATTGCAGCATATACATGAATTCCAGCTCCAACTTGAAAAAAGTAGTGGTAAGTGTCAAAATTATCCCAATTTGAACCTTATTAATGATAACTATGAAGGCCCATAGCCATTGCCACCCTTCAATGACAAAGGTCCAGAATTTGTCCCATACATGAGCTCATTTGTCTTATTTTGACTGCTTTGTCATCATAAATAGTGAAATTAATCCATTGAAAAAGGCTTTAAGACCCGGGAAAATCCTATTAAAATTAATGTGGAAACTAATTTGTCTATTTTTGTTATCCATGAATTTTCAATCAAATCAAATGTACTTTTTTTTACAAAAGAGGCTGGAAAAATTGTGAAGCTCTTTTATTATTATTATGTTTAAATTGTTTATTATTCAAGTAGCCAAATTCTGACTGAGGACAGTTGAATGTTTTGGCCAGTTTGTATGCTACAGGCTACAATAGGCCACAGTTTTTAATGTATAACTTCAATAGATTCATTTTTTATTTATTTTTTATGATTTATGATGTAATACATTTGTATTTAAAAAAAAAAAGTTTATTTATTTTTCTTTATTCTAAATCTTTAGGATATATTTTGGTACATTAAATATGTCATTATGATGACAACCTAAGAGGCTAATCCAGCGAAAATAGTGTTTAAAATGTCACTAAAATACAATATTTAAATCTCATACATTGTAAATGAGGTGAATAACTGCAAAAAAGTCCACATTTTGAGAAAAAAAAAACTTATAACAGGCTGGCTACGGGCCTGCTATAGGATAACCAAGTAGCTGTTTATAACAGATTATCCCAGTATATATTCGTCATTCAGGCTATTAATTATTAAAAATATAACATTTAAATGTTGTTTTTACTATTGTATATTTTTAATTATATATATATATATATATGTATGTGTATATATATATGTGTGTATATATATATATATATATATATATATATATATATATATATATATATATATATATATATATATATATGTATGTATATATATATGTATGTATATATATATGTATGTATATATATATATGTATGTATATATATATGTATGTATATATGTATATATATATATATATATATATATATATATATATATATATATATATATATATATGTATGTGTATATATATGTAATATGTATATATATATATATATATATATATATATATATATATATATATATATATATGTGTGTGTGTGTGTGTGTGTATATATATACATATATATATACATATATATATATATATATATATATATATATATATATATATATATATATATATATATATAAATATATAATTATAAATATACAATAGTAAAAACAACATTTAAATGTTATATTTTTAATAATTAATTTTTTTGTTATAAAAGAAAACAATTATCATTTTGATTCAATATTTTTCAAAAAAAAAAAAAAAATTACCTGTGCACTTTAAGATTGGTTTTGTCATTTAGGGTCTCGTTTATTAATAGTATAATATTTTAATGGCTTTGAAGTAGCACACTCATTCCTATGAACAGAAAGCCATCTGATTCACTAGTGATGAAAGTATCATTTCAAATGACAGTTTATATACTGTATGTACTGTATGTGTGTGTGAGTGTGTGTGTGTATATAATTAGATTGACTTGAAAGTGACTTGCTAGACCAAGCTACAACTTGACTTGACTTGACTTGAGTCTGACAAAAATTGACTTGACTTGCTTGAGACTTGAAGGTTATGACTTGAGACTTTCTTGTGACTTGCACATGTGTGACTTACTCCCACCTTTGGTGCTAAGCTCTCTGTGGCTGCTTGCTTTATTCTCAGCTAATTGTAATTGCCATCAGCTGTGAGAGCTGTGCGCAGCCAATTCATAGGGATTCATAGACCCGTTTTCTTACTTTTCAGAATGGTTATCGGGCATTACCTCCAAATGTGTCATGTGACTCAGCATTCCCTCTCTCAGGGAACACTCTTAGAAATGCTAAACGATGCTTGAAGTTAAACGGCACATCATTTCAGAAAATACTTCAGAAAAATGTTCAAGCTATTGCTTGGTGCTTAAAAGGTCACATTAAACACAGTTTTGATGCTAGTTTTTTGATTACAAAAGTCATTTTGTTCTGAATATTGTGCACATTTCCCATATTTTCTGTTTGTATATAGTATAGTTCACTCAAAAGTAATGACCCTGCACTCGCTCCATACCAGATAGTGTGCAAAAGTCTTATGCTCCCAAAGCTGGCTGTAACCTAAGACTTTTGCGCAGTACTGTATAGTATATACATATTCTATCATGTGCAGACTGTAAAGCAGGATCAAAATAACTAAATTTCCGCATTTAAATTAGAACTAGAGAAAAGAACAGGATGATGCTAAACAAAAAGAACCACATCAACAAGCATTGTGTGTAAAGTACAGTAAATACATCTTGTTCAAAATGCAAATTGCATATTTATTCTTTTGCTAAATACTCATTTTGATGCAAACTAATCACTATATGTTTGTAACTTGTGATGCGTAGCATATTTACAATTAGGCATGGTGGACAAGGAAGCGGTTTTGAAAAGCCACGACAAATCCAGGAAGTGAGCAGGACTAAAGCAATATAGTTAGACCAGACAGGCTGCATGTCTCAGTGTTAAAAGCTGTTATTGAAGTATTAATAATAATAATAATAAAAAATGAAAATACAGAGAGAAGCAACATTGCAACTTTTTGAACAAAGCACCATCCGCTTGAAGACGATCATTGTGTTTTTCCTTTACTTCATAACAGGCAAGTGTTCTCTGTTTTTAACTTATGTTACTCAGTGTTTTTTTAACATGCATTGTGCTGATTGTTGTGTAATTATACAGCAGACAGGGAAGAAGGGCGATTGAGGAGGGGGATCGATAAAATGAGGTGCCAGATTAGATTTCAGAGGTTCTGGATCTGGCGTGTTCTGGCACAAATTAAGCCCTGCTTTTATTCCATACAACTTTATATGGTGTAAAAAATTAACAGGACTTGACTTGTCAACATACACAGCAAATTCTGGTCTTTGGAATAAACTCCCTGGGAGTCAAAATCAACTCAATCTGAGTGTACATGCGTGACCATCAAATGTACTCCCATTCAGAGTTAAAATCACTCTGCTTTTGGAGTTGAATTTTAACACATTTTTTGAGTTAGATTATAACACTTTCTGGAGTTAAAATTGTAATCCTACAGAGAGTACTTTTACATTTGGGTATAATATAAACTCCTTACCAATGTTAAAATGTAACACTTTTTAGAGTTAAAGTGTACTTCAAACAATATATATATATATATATATATATATATATATATATGAAAATGACTGAACTGATGCAATACTCTTTACTTACTGCTTTTATTCATGCAAATCCACACATTAGATTTAGAATTTCCATCGATGTACACACTTTGAAATTAATTGTCATCAAAGCATTAAATCTAACAGCAAAACATTTACAATTAATATATGTTAGCAGCTAGTGCCAACTAAAACCAATGGCTTAGTAAAATTGCATGAGACAATCAACACATTACATTATGTAAAATTAACTTCACAGGAATCAGAAGCAGCAAAAAAATATCTTGTCATACTCCTTAATCACAGTCAACTCTGCTGGCTTTGAAGTTAGAATTTGCTCGATTTTCTGAAACGAAGAAAAAAAAAGTATTTAGAAAGATAACCAAAATTTATATTTTTTTTAACAAAAAAAACTTAATCTAATAACTGTGTTTATACTATTTTTTTACTTTAAAATGCATTCATTTTGTAACGTTATTTTGTAATGTTTACGGTATAATATTTATGTATATGGAAGTTTAAAAAAAACTTTACATTTTTTTGTACACTGCCCATTAAAGGTTGAATAATTTGAGATCCAGAATCACTGCTGCTCAAACTGCTTGACAAAGACAATGTATCTGTCAGACTTGGGGAGGAGGGCACTTCAACAGCCCCTTGCTGCAGGACAGTCAAATCTGATGAAAAAACAACAACAACACGTGTCAGCAAATGGTTCTGAAATGCACACTTTCACTCTGAGTCATGAAACCAACTTTCAAAATCTATAAAAATGTTCTTAAATAACCTACCATCATTAGTGTGGATGACATGTTTCTTTGGTTGTTGCAAGTTCTTGAAATACATCCTCATCCACCTCTATGCCATGGTCATCTGTGACTTTCGATGCTGTATCCTCTGGTATCACAAACTTGTGCTGGACTACAACATAACAACAATGTATAATTTATCAAATAAATTTCAAAATGACTGTTATTATTATTATTATTATTATTATATATTTTAAAAATACTCTTTGTTACACTAAAACTCACCCGCACTGAAAAAATCCAAGAAACAATCTTCTTCCAGTTTAATATATTTTTTCTTGCCTCCAAATTGCACTTTTATCAGCATCGTGGCCTGAAATAAAAAAGATAAATGTTATTTAACAACTTATGTTAGTGTGATTGAAAATGTAATGTAAATATAGCTGAAAACAGCATACTCTCACGGTCACGACTAAATCATGATACAATCCAAAACATTTCATGAGCAATATTACACATATTAAATCTTACAGACATAAAGCTCTATTGCTGGATAAAAGATAATGACATTACCTCGTTGTGTAAGTTAGCCTATTTGAAATGTGAACAGCAGGTTTCTCCATCTGATCAAGTAGGCCTACCACTTCTTTTTGACAGCAGAACACACATTTTTAGAAACACAGGGGAAGAAAAGATTATTAGCTAGTGTTAGCTTGTTCACATCCACAACATTTTTTTAAAAACTGCACAAAACAGCCACATTGGAAAAGCTAACATGCTATGCTAAGTTAGCCACATGCAGTCACTAGCCTCACAGTACAAAATGAAACAGCTACAGCAAAACACACTTCTGCTACAAAACATCCAACATTTAGAAAAAGCTTTTAGAATTGTATAACAATGCACTTTTACCTACCTCACAACGAAGAACATAACTCCAGTTCTCATGTGCTGCTCGGCAGAGTTGTGTAATGGCGGACTTTATCAAAAAATTTAACTCCAGTAAGGAGTTAAAGCACGTTTCTGAACACCAGAGAATGAACTCTAGAATACAACACAGCAAGGGGTATCCCATAACACAAAATTGTGTTAAAGTTTAAAAATAAACTCAAAAAAATTAACTCTTTCACACTTTTTTGCCTAACTCCTAATTTTTCAACTCCAGAAATTTGCTGTGTAGATTTAAAATCGAAAAATAACAGGATCATGTATGAATAACACTGAGAAAATAATTGATTTGAAAACTGTTTAGTTATGTAATAAGCAGTTCCCCAAAAGGCAGCAAACCCATTTTCCTGATTGAGTCATTTGATATTGAATCAGTTCGGGGTTAATATCAACGTTGCAAGTATGAAATTAACGCATCTCAGCGGTCCTCGCAAAACACATTTGTTTCTCACAGCACTTTTGTATCTCAACTGTGCATAAGCTTTCCGTTTCCCACTTAAACTAGTTACTTACTGTTTGGTTTCTCTTATATCAAATAACAGAGGTAAAGTTAAATTCAGTTACCAATATTGCAGAGTCATGTTCAGTTTAGGTCCCAATATCTGTTAGATATTGGTGCAAACATTGGTTATTTGTGATTCACTCATTAGGCTTCACTTGTTTTATGGATGAATCAGCATTTTTGAATGAACCACTTGAACAAACGATTCAGTGGCAATTGATAGCTTGAACTGATACGAATGTTTAGAAATTATTTTTAAAAGGTGATTTAAATAATATTTAACATAAACACGCATAATAAATGACATTATCCGCTGTTAGAGTATATTTTTACTAATACTATTATTATTATTACATAACACATGACAATAAATAACATAAATTATCGACTATTAGAGTATATTAAACTGTAAATTACTATTACAAGTAATATTAATAGTTTCATTACTATTATTATTATATTATCACTGTTAGCTGTACTATTTTTATTATATAGATTTTTTTTTCCATAAACTAAAAGAGATATTCACTGATAGAGATACTGAGAGAATAACATGTAAATAAAGACATATATATTTAAATAGTCTAAATTGATCTATTTCATTACTCAGAGTGCAAAATTGGATCAGCAAGCAGGGCGTTAACCATTCAGACTGGAGGATCTGTTGTTATTCCCTGTTATTATGACAGAAAATACACAGGATACAAGAAATACTGGTGCTTTGATGCCAAGACTGCATTCAATTATTGCTCTATTCTGGCATATACTAATGAAACCAAAGGAAAAGTGTCAGTGATTGATCATCCAGATCAGAGTTTCTTTACTGTGACTATGAGGAACCTGCAGCATGAAGACACTGGATATTACTGGTGTGCTGTAGAGATTGAAGGATTCTTTAAATTGGATGAAAAAGAGCAGCTTCATCTCACAGTTCAATCAGGTATGAGACCAAATTCATATTCAAATAGAAAATTATTTACGTTCCAGATAAATCGCAGTATTTAATATCTGCTGTCTGTGTGTTTCAGCTCCTGACGTGTTTGTCAAGAGCAGCAGTGAATCTGGACATGAAGGTGATGATGTCAGTGTTCAGTGTTTCTACAGTTCTGGATATAAGAAAAAACTCAAACGCTGGTGCAGATATAAAGATCGGAAATGTTTCAGAGAGAAGAAGACGGACACATCCCAGAGTTCATCAGTGCAGATCAGTGATGATGGTGAAAGCTCCTTCACTGTGCTGATAACTGGACTGAGACTCTCTGATTCTGGATGGTATTTCTGCTCTGCTGGAAATCTGCAGGCTCCTGTTCAGCTCACTGTAACTGAAGGTAAAAGTCACTCACTACATCGACACAGGCTTTCCTATGTGAAATAATAAACCATTTCTTTTTTTGTGTTTGGTAAACTGTAGAAATAGTAAACCCTTCCTTCTCTACAAAAAATCCACAAGTTCCAGTTTTCAATGTCACTAAAACAAAACCAGGAAATACAGACTTTTGCATTAAGGTTATGACAAAAATATAATAATTTTAATCTTAATTTGACATTTTATTTTATTTACAGCAGTAATAGATACTGAAGGATTTGAAAGAAACAGGTAAATGGCTAAATGTAATGGTTAACATTTCCTTTCATGGGTTTTATTAATTTTGTATTTATCGTACATTTTGATACACATATTTTGTTTCTCTCAGGCATTATGGGTATCTAGAAGTGTGGATTCCGGCAGTTCTGCTGTTGATGCTGATTACACTTGTCATGTCAACTATAATATTGAGGAAGAAACACGGTCAGTATTAAAGATATCTCTTATAACATGATATGTTCTATTGTTTTAACCCTAACCCTAACAATGTTCTTTGTTTATTTATTTAAATAAAATTTATTTAAATCTCTAATTGCACGTATATTCATTCTGAGCCAAGTCCAAATGTGTATTTAACCAGATGCATTGTAGATATCCAGATGTCCAATCTCAGTCTTGAAGTGCACCTATGGTGAAAAATCTACTTTTAAAGCTGTTAAACAGACGTGTGTTGGTATAGACTGATTTCACGTGCCCGCCGTTTTAAAAGCGAAATCGAGGCTGTGGTAGGAAGAAACCTGTAACTATCATTGGGAGTTACATAGGAATGTTGTGTAACTGGCTATATAGCTTATCAGCGAAGAGAAAGTAACACAAATTTATAACTTCTCCTCCTTCCGGGTGACCCGAAGGTCCGTTCTGAATGAATGGTGAATGTAATAAGGGATATCAGAGCTCAGTTTCAGCTAAGTTAAGGGAAATGGCACTAGTTAGCTAACGTTTTCTTTCCCAAACACAAGTTTTAGATGCCATTTATCAAACTAGAGTTAATAAATTGATTTTTTCACTTTATTGGACTTGTCACGATACTGAATTAAAAGAACGAGTTGTCTTCAATGAACCTAAACGAGCACATGTCACTCCGCTGCTAGTCCGTTTGCACTGGCTGCCAGTTGCTGCTCGCATCAAATTCAAAGCTCTGATGTTTGCCAACAAAGTGACTTCTGGCCTAGCTCCTTCTTATCTGCTCTCACTTCTGCAGATCTATGTGCCCTCCAGAAACTTGCGTTCTGTGAATGAACGTCGCCTCGTGGTTTCATCCCAAAGAGGGAAGAAATCACTTTCGCGAACGCTCACGCTCAATCTGCCCAGTTGGTGGAATGAACTCCCTAACTGCATCAGAACAGCAGAGTCACTCGCTACTTTCAAGAAACGACTAAAAACTCAACTATTTAGTCTCCACTTCACTTCCTAATCTGCAATTGCCTCTTTGAATATCACACTAACTGTACAAAAAAAAAAAAAAAAAAAACTAATACTACTAATACTTCCCTTCTTAGACTTTACAGACCTGAAACTTGCCTTTAGTACTTATTCATTGTTGCTCTTAGTTGTGTAAATTGCTTCCTTGTCCTCATTTGTAAGTCGCTTTGGATAAAAGTGTCTGCTAAATGACTAAAATGTAAAATGTAAATGTAAAATGAAAAGAAAAAACTGCAATTTCGCGCTAACATTTAAGGCAATGTTGATGGCTTTCTTAAAACAGCACTGATTTGCCATTGTGTTCATGTGTTCAACAGAAATGATTGTGATTGGTCGAGAAGGTCATCAGTTCACCCACCGCTGTATACTGAGCACAAACACAGACGAGCCAAGCGATCTGCTTGATGACTCGACTGATCTTTACGGCTGCTTCGTGCTCCAGTCTCCGTGTATCTGTGTTTGCACTGGGTGAAGAGCGGTAAACTGAGCGCAAACCAAACACAGATACACGGAGACTGAAGTGCGAAGCCGTGAAGATCAGTCGAGTCATCTGCGCTCAGCAGCGCTTCCATATTAGCGGGAAATAGCCAGGTTTAAAACTTCAGTAAGGGGACAAAACTATTAACTGTTACAGACAACATATAGGGTGTGCTGCAGAGGACTGCAGTGTTTTATCACTCACTGGGTTACATAGACTGAAGCAGGAAAGCGTCCTCACGGTGTTTAACTAGTGCCATGAGCTGAAGCCCAGGAGGACACTTAAGCGCATCACTGAGATTGTGATCTTGTTTGATGCTAAATTGCTTTTAATTGTTTAAAATAAACTTACTGAATGATATTGAAGTAATGTTTACACCATTTCTGCATTTTGAAATCTCGGCAACAGCTGGGGGTTTGTAGTACACAGCATGTTCCTGGAATCTTTACCGTGCTGGTCCTATACTTCCGGGTTTCTTCCCACCACAGCCTCGCTTTGGTTCTTTAAAATGGCGGCCGCGTGAAATAAGCGTATGGTGTATAGACCGTCATATTGGGGTGATATAAACACACCCAGTCCTTTTTTTTTCTTTCAATTTAACAACATAAAAACGGTGGACCAATTGGAGCGGTTTTCAGATCAACTTGACGTAGGAGTGCGGTCCCCCTGCCCACCAATATTGATTGACAGGTGCGCGTTAACATGTCTCCGTAGTACCGCATATAATCATATCAACAAGACAGGACGTGCGCAAAGCAACCAGGAATAAAAGGTCTGTTCAGTTCGCTAGGATCATCAAACGTGATCAAGAGCGAGTTTTACAAGTTTAAAATGTTTTAAAACAGTGCATGTGTGTAATGAATTATAGAGATTCACTTCATCAGCACAGTGTCAGCGTGTCAGAACAATTATAAAAGAAGAGGCTTCAATCCCGGTTTGTGGACGCTAAATCTGCTTTATTTTGTACATTAACACAACAGATATTCACACAGCAGTGTATATTTACCTGTATACTGTCACATATGCATGCGAAAACAGTGCAAAGCTAAACGCCCTCTCTCTCTCTCTCTCTCTCTCTCTTAATTCAATTCAATAATTGCTTTATTGCCATGATAAATGTTACAAATGTATTGCCAAAGCAGTTATAAAGTTTACATAAAAAGTAACATACATATATAATAAAAAAACAGTACACAAAGTAAATAGTAGTAAAAAAAGAAATAAAGAAAAAAAGAGAAGAAATATTATATATAATAATTAAATGAAATTTTCATAAATGAAATACATCATATTATTCAATATATCACATTAATATTAAATATATTATATTATTATTCAACATATCGTATTATATGTTGGGGGGGGTTGCGCTATGTGGGTGTGTGTGTGCTATGTGTGTGTGTGGGTCCTCGCTTGTATGTGCATGAACTTTGTAACTACATTGTGTGTGACTCATGGTTCCAACTTCACAAAAAATGCTTCAAATACTGATTGGTAAAGTTCTTACTGTAGTATTTCTCCCAAACTCTACATTGGAGCTGTGAACCTACACTAGTCTCACGGTTCGGTTCGGTTACGATTATCATGCCATCGATTCGGTTCAATTCGATATTTCGGTGCATCACGGTGCATTGACGATGCTTTTATATTTTCTTCACAGCAGCAGCTCTTGTATTAAAATGTATGAATATATTTATATTTATATAGGCTATTATTTGTAATACAATTGTGTCATTTAATACAAACAGTCAGATATATAAACTGTAACTTTAAAAAAAACGAGCATTTAGCAAATAATATAAACAAATATAAATATCCAGCTCAATTTCTGATCCTTGTCTAGTTCTATTACACCTCTTTGATTGGTCACACCCTCAACAAAAACGCTTGCGATTGGCTCTTGCGCGCTGCGCTCTTCAGATGAATGATAAGCGGCAGGCGGCAGCGGCGATCTCACAGCTGATCTATGATAGACACGGTGGAGAAAACTCTGCTGACACGTGCTCGTTTCTGTATCCAAAAGTAACACTGTAAAACAGCCGAGAGGAAAAGAAAAGTCACGCCAGCAGGTCAAATGGGCCACTGTGTGTGTGTAAGAGAGAGCGAGACAGAGGCAGAGCGAGACAGAGGCAGAGCGAGAGCGAGCGAACGAGCGAGAGAGAGAGATAGAGAGAGAAAGATGGGGTAGGCTAATTTCATTCTCAAACACACACAGTGAAATTGAGCACAGTTTATTAGAGTATTAAGTAGTTAGAGCGTTGTAAATACCCACGATCGTCTCCCTTGCACAGAGCGCATATGAGGTAAATGACGTCAGTAATAACCGGTTATGATTATTACTGAACCGATACCGAATTGTCCGCGTCTGCATCGCAGTGCATTGAAGAAACGATTAATTTTGACACCCCTACTCTACATGGATCTGCTTCCTGAGGCAGCCAAGAGCAGAGATTGAGGCATTGCGCTGACAAGCCAGCCTGATCTCACGAGAAAACGTAAGTATTTTACGTTTAGCCAGTTTAGTGGCTAATTCATACAAATTCATACGATTTCAGTCGTACGAAATTATACGATTTTAAAAAGGAGGCGTGGCACCTGACCCCACCCCTAACATTGGGGGATAAGCAAATCGTACTAAATTGTATGAATTAGATCGTACGAACTCATACGAATTAGCCACTAAATGAAAAAGTTACGAATTGCTGTGAGATTGTGTTGGACAAGCACATGAAAACGGTGGGCGGGGAGGACTAGCCGTAAAGGCCCAGTACAAAAAACAAAAAAAAAACAGCAACCAGGTTTAAATAGCTACAATACAGACACTTCAGACAGCTATAATAAATAATCTGATGGGTGTTTTGAGCTAAAACTTTACAGACACATTCTGAGGACACAAAAGACTTGTCTTAAATCTGGAAAAAGGGTTAACCTAGGTGTCCTTTAACACACTTATCTGATTTACCTTGGCTGTAATGACAGCATTTCACATGAGATTTAAAATGTGAATTATTACACTATTTTGGAGATTAATGTAAACATGGACATCAGAGAGTAACCCACGCCGGTTATTAATTCACTGTACACCATGGTTTCTTAGGAATTATTGCTTATTACAAAAACTGATAAGATCATTTGTTTTCTTAATAGTAGACAGAAAACACACTCTTGGTGTAGACGCAAACAGAGACAAAGCCTGTGAGATGGTAAGTCTGAGCTCAAATACTGTTTAACTAAAGCTGAGAGATTGAGAAAAGTGTTAAGAAGTGTTTTATTAGCAGGAAAATGTTACTCAGTGTTCAGGAAGTGAGGAGACTGATGTGACCTACAGCTCTGTCACAGTTATACCTAAACTGAAAGTAAGTGAAATCACAAAAACATGCTTAAAGGAGAATATCTCATTTGTTTTACACATGCAGAAACATTAGTGTCATTGTTTGTGGTGTTCTCTTTATATATATGTTTTCTCCCCAGTGCAGTCCAGTATTAGCAGAGGATCAGGTGATCTACAGCTCTGTGCACAAGTAGATGACATGTTGCAGGTTTGCTGAAGTTAACAGACAACGTCATTTGAAGTTGAACAAAAATAATATTTTGAATGTCATAAATATATAGATATATAGATAGATAAATATATAGAAACTTTATTATATATAGATAATTTAATAAATATGTATATATGTATATATATATATATATATATATATATATATATATATATATATATATGTATATATATGTATATGTATGTATGTATGTATATGTATATACACATATACATATACACACACACATATACATATACATGTATACATATACATATACATACATATATATATATATATATATATATATATATATATATATATATATATATATATATATATATATATGTGTATATGTATATATATACATATACGTATATATACACATATATATATATATATATACATATATACATATTTATTAAATTATCTATATATAATAAAGTTTCTATATATAAGTGTGTGTATATATATATATATATATATATATATATATATATATATATATATATAATTTTGTCCTTAATTTTTAATGCAAAATTAAATTATTAAATAATTTATAAAAACTGAATAGGTTACAGGTTTTTGCTTATTAACTCTTATATTTATATGACTATGATCAGTAATTTTGTTTGTCACATTGGTCAAGAGAAAATAAGTTGTATATACTGTAATCGAAAGGTATTTTTAGGTAGTTTACTGTTAATGCAAACCTTTTCCAACAAATATTTAATCAATATTATCCATGCCTTTTTGGATTTCTTTCACACCCATGAATAATGCTTTTGTTTTTAACCAACATGTTATAGAAAATGTGTAAAAGATGTGTGAATGTGTGCAAAAAAAGCTTTAGCAATGCATTTTTCCTTTGGTGTTAAACATTTAATTTTATATTAGCAGGAGTCAGAATCTCGCTTTTGTTGATTTCTGGATTTCTCTCATTGAAATTGAACTAGTCTCTTGTGATTGACGCATCTCATGCTTTATATCAAGAACATGTTTTTCCTCACACATGGACCACATGGTACAGAAGCGTCAGCAGCTTTCACATGTCTTCAAAAATAGAATCGTGCATCACATAAACACCCTATGTGGTCCACGACCTCTCAGAACAGTCATGTGAAAAGGCAAGAAACGACGGTAGTTGATAGAGCTTAACGTGCTGCTATTTAAGAATATGTGCAATTGCTTAAAAAAACCCAGCACATTGAGAAAAAACACATGTGCTGCAAATCCTCACAACCTATGCATGTTTTAAAAATGTGCCTTTTCTCACAACACTTTCAATTAGCACAGAACACAATGCCAATTTTTCAAAAAAGTGACGGATCTGGCTATTAAGGTTATGATTATTTAAGCTTTAAAATACAAAAGACATGTCAATCAGGATGTTAAAAAAAAACAAACAAACAAAAACCACCTTTCAAAGATCACCTCCAAATTCACTGGGCAAATAGTCACGACACAGCAGTGTCCATGTTTGCATGGTGGTAAACGAAGATCTTTTCTTAATTTGCTGGAGTTTTTTTTGTAATTACACGTGTTTTTTAAATTGTAGTGTGTTAAGCTCTCTCAGGCCACCGTAAGAAACACTTTAAAAGAAAAACAAATTTTCACAAATAAATAAAAATTTAATATTATTCAAAAGTTTTAAAACAACACACAAAAATTACCTAAATATTCCACTATGGCATGCATTTTTTTCATATTTATTTTTTCATAGTTTTTGGTTGCTTGGGGGTCCCTTATAGTACATCAATTATAATTATTTATTGTGGAACCTCAGAAAGCAGTTATTGGTGGATGTGAAGCAGTAACATTTTTGTCACTTGGCTTTAGGTCAGGGGTGTCCAGCATAGTAATACACACTAGAGTTTGTGTGTGCAAAATTCTGTTGAATGTTGCTACAAAAAGGGGCGGGGTTAAACAAGATGATTAGACATTAAAAAAAAGTGAGCGATTGCTCCATATTTTAAATTCCTATCCAGAGAGGTCATGTTTTGATTTGGTCTCATGCAATCATGTGATGCGATTTCGCAGGTCAGAGTTCACCAAGCTCGAACTTTACAATGCAGCGAACTGCGAAACTTGCCACAAAATCTTGCGTTTCCAGTCTGATGCATTTGCGTGCTTATGATTGGAAGTGTATGGGGAGAAAAGTCCAGTGTGAATGCAGCTTTAAGCTCTCACCCCAATAAGACACACCTGAACCAGCAGCTCAAGCTCTAGCATACTAGAAACGTGATGGCAGGTTGGCAACTAAACTCTGGAACCAATCTTTGCAGGACACCGGCCCTCCAGGGAAGAGTTTGGGCACCAAAACTAATTTAGATGTGTCAGGGTTCTGCCACTCTGGTCTTTGTAAATTCTTGTTTTGGTGGCAGAGCTCTGACACTACCCATGTCCGGTCCTGTTTCTGTCTCTGTGTGCGCGCGCGCCGTCGTGGGTGTACGCAGAGTGTGCGCGCTTCTGCTTGACGCGGCCGCGCGCGCGCTCTGCGTCCCTCAGACGCGTGCGCTCTTGTACTCGTGTTTGTGTTTTCGTCTGTCAGCAGCATGGTGTTTCATTCCCAGCGTCTCAGTCTTGTTGGTTTCGGTTTTGGTCGGCGCTGGGATGAAGCATGCATGCTGCATATGTGAGCGCATGGTGAGTGTTTTCATTCATCGTGTGCTCGTGTCTTGTGTCTTTTGTCAAAGCACATGGCTCGGTGTTTACATTGGTCACGTGCTTTTGTCGTGTGCTTCAGTGTTGTGTTATGTGAGCGCATGGCTTGTATTGTCTCTCTGTGTCATGCGCTCTCCCGTCTATTGTCTAGTCCCACCCTCCTTGTTAACCCATATTTAGTTAATTGTGTTCACCTGTGTTTCAATTTACTTTTTTGCTTTATAATCCCCCTCATGTTTTCAGTCCTTTGTCAGTTCGTCGTTGCTAGTTTCCTGTCTTGTTGTGTCCAGCCCTGTCTTGTCCTGCCAGTCCTGCCAGCCCTGCCAGCCCTGTCAAGTTTGTTTTTGCCTTTGTATTCATGTTTTCCCCTTCGGGGTAGTTTTGTTTTGCCTTTTATTTTTATTTTTATTATTAATAAATACCCATTGTTTCGTTGCACTTGAGTCCTCGCTCCTTTTCCCCTCATCGACCGTGACAAGATGAGCCTTTGCATCCTGATAATCTGTATCTCCCTTTCTGTGTATAACCATCAAGTGGGCTGTATTCAGATGCACATCAAACTCAGCTACTGGAGGGCTGCAGCACTACAGAGTTTAGTTCCAACTTTGCCTCAACACACTCAAATACATCACATGTGCTGTGTATGCAATGTTTTTATGCCATGTAAAACATTTATTTAAATAAAAATGTGATTATATGGTTTAAAATTTGATGTTTTATGAGATTATTGACTAGACTTTTTGTTGATTTTGTGTTGGATTCAGCAATCGTGGAATCTTAAAAAACTAGGGGTCTGACTAAACTATTATATGTTATGTCAAAATACCCTTAGTTTAATATTAACATCTAAAAGAACAACCACAGACACACACAACGCAAAATGTGTTTTTTTTTCTCCTATATGGCATATGGTATCAAATTACATTAAAACGACACCCTTCCAGCAGTTCCTCGCTTCTAATATCTTGTTCGTCATGGGGGGCATGCCTGAAATGTTCCTGAATGAAAGTGAAAATGTCAAACTGCAGTCAAAGTTGAAAAATGAAAAATGAAACACTTGAAATTACAGAGGAAATGTCGATATTGCGGTGGCACAATGATTTTAATCGAATTATGTAATATCGCGTAAAATAGAAACATGAAAGAAACCTTCAAAAAGCAACTCATGTAAACATCTTAATCATATTGATAGTCTTGAGCCTGATTTATGCTTTCACCTGGTGGTGCATCGCGGACCTCCACTGACTGCGCGTTCACCTTGCGAAACAGAAAAGGCTTTTATACTTGATGCATTCGCTGTTGTGAAATTCTTTAAAACAACAGGGGGCGGTCAAAAGAGTAGAAGAAGGGTTTCTGGAACTTATCATTAATATTAATGAAGATTTTTAAACATATGCCGGAATAGTTGGCGGTTCATTGCTCTGTATTGACACCTGATAAATGAGGGACTAAGCTGAAGGAAAAATGAAGGTATGAATGAAACAGCGAAGCACTCATTCATTAGTTGGCAATTATAGATAACAATCCTGTATATTTTAGTGTTGCTGGCACATTTGACCAGTTGAGCTTGAAACAGAAAACTTACACTTAATTTAAACATGCTGTATGTAAGATTTTGACTCTTCTAATGCATAAAAATACCATAATATTTTATTTTAATATTTAAGAAACATGCTAAGTGAACATTCTTGTTTATCTGAAAAACAATGCTGAAGTCAGATATTCTGCTTTGAAAATGTGCATTACGTGCAGAAACGCTGTCTTTGTTTTGGTTCTTTTAACCTGCACACTGTCAGTTTAGCCGGGTTGCCTTGGTGGAAAACAGCATATTTCATTCATTTATTCTGAAAGGCTTTGAAAGCATCTGTCTGTGACCGAAATGCTACTGTACCTCCGGTAGACAGCAGCAGACTGAAATGAGACACAGATTCAGAGTTCCACACAAGGTTATTAATTATCAAATAATATAAATATTATAAGGGTGAACATTAGGTGAGCAGGTTACATTGTAACTCTGTGTCGACATGAGCACCATGGTGATATATGTCCGCGCACTTAACCACTTGGCTATTGGCATTGACCAATATGCATTAGTTGTTATAAAACATATTAATCGAAACACTGAAGACTCTTATGTGGAAGTGAAAAATATGGTTTGTCTATTAGCAGTGGGACATAAATAACAGTGTTACTTTTGTCCCCACAGGAACTTTCGCCATTTAAACCTGATTTACTTTTAAACTAAAATACTCAGACATTTCAAACTTAAGGATGTGTTATTGCACTAAATAACCTGTAGATTGATCACTACTGTGATGC